GGCCTTCTTGGCCCTGAGGGCACAGTGCTGGCTCAGGGACAGCTTGTTTGTCATTTCCTGAGGAGTTGTCCAGCTCCTCAGTGTCAAATTGTTCATGTCTACTGCAAAAGCTGTTTGTGGGTTCGTTGCCAGGTTTTCAGGTATTGACAGTTTAAATCTGTGCTTCTGCAAAGGCTTTGCATTCCATGGAGTTGTAGAAACATGGAATGGTTTGGGTTGGAAGGAATCTTGAAGATCATCTCATTGCACCCCCTGCCATGGGCAGGGACACCTTTCACTGGCCCAGGTTGCTCCAAGCCCCATCCAACCTGGCCTTGGACACTCCCAGGGATCCAGGGGCAGCCACAGCTTCTCCAGGCAACCTGTGCCAGGGCCTCCCCACCCTCACAGGGAAGAATTTTTTCCCAATATCTAATCTAAACCTACTCTCTGTCAGTTTGACCCCATCCTCCCGTGTCCTGGCCCTCCAGGCTTTGGTAAATAGTTTTGCCTCATCTTTCCTCTGAGTTCTCTGCAGGCACTGGAAGGCCACAATCAGGTCACCCCAAAGCTTCTCCTCTCCAGGCTGAACAATCCCAGTTCTCTCAGCCTTCCCTCCCAGCAGAGCTGCTCCAGCCCTCTGATCCACTTGTGCCTCCTCTGGACTTGCTCCAAAGAAGGAATTTCCATTTTGCTGTTGGTATTTCAGTTGTGGGGGTTTTTTGTTTGCTGGGATTTTTTATATATCTTGCTGCAATACAGTTTGTTATTAATTTCTCCTATTTGTGACATACAATGTTTTAAAACTCTAGTAAATGGACTGTATTAGTTCCTATCAGACATTGTGAACATCATTCCATCATTCCCAAGATAAGAAGGACATGGAACTGTTGGAGCAAGTCCAGAGGAGGTCATGAAGTTGATAAGGGGGACTGGAGCCCCTCCCGTAGTGAGTCAGGCTGGGAAATTTGGGAATGTTCAGGCTGGAGAAGAGAAGGTTTTGTGGAGACCTCAGAGCACCTTCCGGGATCTGAAGGGGCTCCAGGGAAGCTGGAGAGGGACTGTTCATCAGAAACTGGGGTGACAGGACAAGGGGGAATGGCTTCAAACTGAAAGAGAGGAAATTCAGCATAGATATCGGGAAGAAATCCTTCCCTGTGAGGATGGAGAAACCCTGGCACAAGTTGCCCAGGGAAATTGTGGATGCCCCAACCCTGGCAGTGTGAAAGTCCAGCTTGGACAAAGCCTTGAGCAACGTGGTCTAGTGGAAGGTGTCGCTGCCCACGATAAGGGGATAGGTTGGCAGGAAATGAACTTTACAGCCCATTCCAACCCCTTAACACTGTATAATTCCGCGACTCCAGTTTCACAAAAGGCCTTTTAACACTCCAACTCACTAGCACATGTGAGCACCCTCAAGGAAAGATGCCTTTGTGCGTCTACACATCCCCCTTACAGGTCATTTG